AAAGAGAGCTAGTACTCCCTCCCCCTACCACCCTCCCAAGCATTTCCAGGGCAGACCAGGGAGAATCTCCGTACCTCCCGCCCCCAAGCCCAGAGCTGGCCAGTGGGAGCCAGGGCAGGCCAGGGAGGAGCGAACACCCGTCAGCCAGCCGCAGCCACGCCCCTTCCCTCCACCAGCAGCAGCACCACCACACACCCACACACCCACCCCGGCCAGCCGGGCTCCGGAAGAGCCGGTTACTCCTGTGCCCCACCAACTGCCCCCGCCCCTTCCGAGCCCCAGGCCTAGTCACCAGGGCAACCTCTAGGACAATCCCGGCCGCAAGAGGTTGGTTGGGCACTGAGCTAAGCAGAGAAGAGGAGCACCTGAGACAGAAACCAGGGGCCTGCTCCCTGCTTGACAGGACTAGGACCATCCTGCCCCTGCCTCCAGTCCCCGAGCACGGAGGAGGGGCTGCCCTGCTCGCCAGTCCACCCCTATGATGACTGCGTGTTTACATTTCTGCCAGAAGCCACCCCCCCACACACACATACACATACCAAGCAGCAGTCCTAACCTCCATACTGACTACACAGGGCCGAATGACCCCACAGGTCCCCCCTCAGTTCCATCAGCTAGAAACTACTAGAAAGAGGAAAGGAGCTATTTTCTCAGCCACTGGTGGGAAAAGTATCTGGGGGAGAAGCACACCACTCCTCCCTCAAGCCAGAAGTAATGGAGGGAGAGAGATTAGCACCTGCTCCCTGCTTCTCCACCCTCCCCAACTTCAGGGTCAGCTGCCGTAGTGCGCGACTCCACTCTGAAGGCCAGATGGCTGGGGCTGGGCAGGGCGGAAAGGGGGAGAGAGGGATTCCGTTCGCATCCCTCTACCTTCCCTCTCCCCACTCCAGGACACTGGGGTCATCCAACCCCAAACACCACCACCCACCACCCATCCTCCCTGCAGCAGGACGGTCCCCTAAGTATGAAGGGAGGGGAGGGAGTAAGGAAGTGAAAACACCCAGGCAAACACCAGGGCTGGGGGGCTGGGGGCACGGCTGCACGGAGGAGGTGGGGGGATCCCCAGTCAGAAGTGGGTAACCGTTCAAGGCCTCCTTACCCGGCCTTGGGTTGTAGATATGGAGGGTCTGCCAGGGGACTGGTTCCTAACCGCTCTTCCCTCCCCCTCCCCCCTCCCAAGCTCAAGACACAATAGTTTCTCATTCTACATTTGGGGGAAGGTAGCCAATCCCCCCCCCCACACACACACCACCACACTCCCCTCCAAGCCGACACACCCGGACCGCCTCAGAGCCAGCCCGGTTTCCAAACTTCTGCTTGGAAGCTGCTAGAACATGGAGAAAGCTCCAGTTTCCTCAGGGAGTCGGGGCTGGCTCCCTTTGCATTTGAATAGAGAAAAAGCGGCGCTTCCTAGGCCTTCCTCAACCGACTCGACCTCCTTCAGACCCTCAGCCCCAACACGCCCCTCCCCAAAACCCCTTCTCCACCACCCACAGCCCCCTAAACCCCGAAGCCGGCCCCCGTTCCCGAGGCTTTTGAGGGAGGGGCGTTCCCACCTGGCCCCGGAGGCGGTGCCGAGGTCGGACCCCAAACTCCCGGGGACGTGGGGTACGGGGGAGAGGGCTCGCAGCAGCAGCTTCAGAGGGGACTTAGTGTGAACTTGCAGGGCCCGGGGAGGGACCGTGATCTCGCCGGCTCCCCCGCCCCTTACTACGGAGAAGGAGAAGCGAGGGGGTGGCGGTTATTCCCCTCCCATCGGGGTTAGGATGGCGTGGGAAAGCGCTCGTTCCGGAGGCGAGGAGGCGAAGCCCAGCCCGCGGGAGGGGAAGGCGCGGGAAGGGGAGACCCCCTTCCCACCGTCCAGCGCCCCTCTAATCCCGGGCCCAGGATCTGAGAAGAGTCGCCGGGGAGGATAGCGGAGGGGCGTAAGGAGGAGCGGTCCGGGTTCCGGGGGAGAACAAATAAATAAATAAAACGGGCGAGGAGATAGTGCGGTGGTTTCAGCGAGGAAGGGCAGCTCCCACTGGGGAAGCGTCCGATGCTGGATCCCGAGACGGGGGAAGCCGCCCGGGGAGCTCCGGGCCTCACCTGGAGCTGAGCCGGGCCGCGGGCGGCGGCGGCTGCGGGCGGCGCAGGTGGCCGAGCCGGGCGGCGGCGGCGCCTCCTCCCCCAGCCCTGGGCCGGCGGAGGGGGGTGTGGAGGTGGCGCTTAAAGGGGCAGGAGCCACTCGGGGTGAGGACGGAGCGCTCGGGCAGGGCGCTGGCGGAGGATCCGCCGGTGGTGTGGGGGGAGGGGGAGGCGGGCGGCGTCTCCTAGGGAGCGCCACCAGGAAGGATCCCGGAGGGAGGAACAGGATAGAGATCCCAGAAAGAGACAGAAACTTCTACGGTGCAAGGTGGAGGGGGAGCGTGGGGAGGAACGGCGGTGGGTCTGAACTTGGGAGCCTGGGCTCCGGGAATCAACCAGCAAAAACCTCTTCACAAAGGAGGCCGGAAGGGCCGCGAGAGCCCCCCCAAGGAAGCTCCAAGGAGGCCAGGGCGTGCGGGGAGAGGGAACTCGTGGCCTGACGTGCGGGGGAGGGGATTAGGATCAAGCACGGCGGGTCACGCACGGCGCCCTTCTAGGCGAACAGGTTCACAGTGTTTGAGCAGCTCCGAGGGCTCCCCGGTACTACAGCTGTGGGGGCTTGTGGGATCGGGAAGCCACGAGGGCAGAACCCTCCGGCGACCTTAACCTCCATCCTAAAGGTGCCTCCCAGGACTAGCAACCGCGGAAGGGAGGGGGGTTTACTCCCAGTTCAGCCCCCCATTCTGTTCTAGCTCCCCTTCCCCCCCTCATCACTACCCCTTGCAGCAACCCCTGGGGCAACAGGAAGCAGCTGCAGCGTGCAGCCCCCACCAGGTGGTGGGTCAGAGTGGGGGTGGGGGAGAAGAGCCCGGAATTTAAAGGCCTGAAACCGGTCTGGGGGAGCCACCTTCAAGACCCTCCAGGACTACCAAGATGCGCTAGCTTTTTGCGGGGGAAGGGGGAGGCAGCGAGAACTCTAAAATATGACTGGACTCGCAGCAGCCTAGGTGGGGAGGAGCGAGGGGCCCGACTCCACGCGGGTGGGTGGGGAAGCCTAGTCCTAGGATCCAGTCTCAGCTGTTCCGTGTTAGAGCCCCAGCTCGCCAGGAGTCGGGACCCGCAGCCTCGCCAGCTGAGCCCTGTGTGGGTGCCCCCCACTTCCAGTCCCCGGTTCCCCTCCTTCCCCCCCACAAACGAGCAAAGGTTAAGCCCCACCCCTGCTGAGTCAGCCAGGGAGGGAGCTAGGCATCCCTCAGGCCTCCCCCCACCCCAGCTGGTCCCCAGACTCACCCATGTCCAGCTGGCTGGATTCCAGGCTGGGACCACCTAGCTCCTCACTGTCCCTAGATCCCCTCACCCTCTTCCGACGGCGAAGACAGGTGCTAGAGCCTCCCCAGTCGGTGAGCTGCGAACTGGCAAGATTCAAAAGGCCAAGGATGGCTTCCTGCGAGCCACACAAGCTGAACTGCTGTAGGGTGATGTCCCTGTGTGACAGCCCCGGGTGGGGAGGGAGGAGGGAAGGGCGGGGCTTTCTCTGGGTGGAGAGAGGGAGGAGGCGAGGACAGGGCCGACAGGGAGGAATATGGAGGAAGGTTAGGCTCGTGTTGACACTCCAGTGGTGAGATGGAAGAGGGCGGTCGGGAGGGGAGGAAATAAACAGTCGCAATCCGGGAGAGGGAGAATGTTCTGGACAAATGTTGAAGGATGTCAAGGTTGTCTGGGGCAGGGGTGGAGGGATGCAAACGACCTTTAGGGTTTTTCAGTTCCTTGGGCTTCATCTGAGTGGCATGGGGAAACACAGCTTAGGGCTGACAGCCAGGGACCTTGCCCACTATCTTCTTACCCTCTCAGGTCAGGATCCTGAAGGAAGAGTCCCTGGCACCTCTCCCCCCTCCCATAACTCAGCATTTCCCCATCCGATCTCTGGGAGACAGCTACCGGGCACCGGCAGCTCAGGGGCTCCACCTCGCGTCCAGCCCGTGACACAGGCAAGCCTGGTGCCGAGGACGTCACCGGCAGATGGGAGGAAGCGGACGCCCCTGCTCCACCCCTGGCGCCTCTCCCAAGTCGCCTCCCCAACCTCCAGCCCCCGGGGGCCTCGGAATTGGGAGCTTGGCTTTTCTCCGCCCAGCTTCAACCCAACTTGTAGGCCCCGGGGAGGTGGAGCTTACTGGAGCAAGCTCCTCCTCGGGACAAAAGCCCCAGCTGGTTTGTAAACAGTCATTAGCTGAGAACCACATCCCGGCAAATGGCCTTCATGGATTTCAAAATGGTGAGATCAGAGTTCGTGCAAACTGCATCCGGGCTGCCGCGAGAGGGCAGCAGGACCAGTCTGAGTTCCAAACAGCACAAACCTGACCTTGCATTGTTAACAACTGGAGCCTTGAGCCTTGCTGCTCACCATTCAGTGGGCTAAAATGAACAGGAAATAATCTTCCACTTGGTTCAAGCTCAAGCCAGCAACCCTGAAACTTGGCATTTCTGCTAAGACTCTTTCCAGAACTTTCTTAGCAGAACGCAGGCCTGGGCCCATGCTGTTACAAACACGCAGAGCCTCAAGAACACATGGCCTGACCACCCAGCCAAGGTGGAGGGAGCCTTGAGTCAGTATTGATAACTATTTCCTAAAAATTGATTGGACTGATTAATTCCTGCTTCACTGAGGAAGGTTATTTCTAAACACCGACCCATTTTTTTCCCCCAATATGTTCTTTTAAACGCTCCTTTTGCTTTTTAATCATGAAATAGGAACACACTGTAGAATCTTTCAGGTAAAAAAGAATCCTAAGACCACACTCAGCTGCCCACCAACCCAAGAGGGGCTACTCGTTTTTGTGAGCCCATTGCAAACATGGCTTACTTTTTGACTGTGGTCATAAAAAATCTGGGTCAAACACAGCATTGCTGCAGAATCAAGAAAATCAGACAGATACTGAGGGGTTACATTTTATTGTAAACCTTAAATATTCTTCAAACAGAACAGAATGATTCCAATCAAGGCTCTTGCATGGCTGACACAGACAACTGAAACGTTTGAGAGGCAAGGAGAGGGACAGTACAGAGGGTAAGTGCTTGCAGCCTGCCACCAAGACCCCTCATGAGTGCTCTTCAGCCAGCTTGTCAGCCTTCGCCACCGCTTCTTCAATGGGTCCCACCATGTAGAAGGCCTGCTCTGGGAGATGGTCGTATTCACCTGGAGAGGGGAAATCCAGTTCGTGAGAGGCAGAGGGCATGAGTTTCCCGCATAGCACATAAATGCCTCGCCACTCAAGGACACATGTAGGGCATGCCTAAGAAACCTTCATTCACCATATTTACAAAACACGATTCTAAGTATACATTAAAATAACACATGGTGGGGCCAGCACAGTGGCAGACTAATCCTCTGCCCTGTGGGACCAGAATCCTGCTCCACTTCTGATCCAGCTTCCTACTTATAGCCTGGGAAAGCAGAGAATGGCCCAAAGCCTTAGGTCCCTGCACCCACATGCAAGACCCAGAAGAAGCTGCTAGCTTCAGATAGGCTCAATTCCAGCTGCTGCAGCCATTTGGGGAGTAGATGGAAGACCTCTTCTATCTCGCCTCTGTAAAATATACCTTTCAAATAAAAATATTTAAAAACAGAGACACATGGTTTGAAGCTGTACCACCTAAGTTTCAATTCTTGCTCTCAGCATATCAGCAGAAGCAGGCAGACCCTTCCAGAAGTGGAAGAAACTAACATTGCATACAAAGGGCTGGGTCACACACACTGGCAAAGGTAGATCATCTTCAAACCAAACATGAAAAAACAGCTTATTTTTGTAATTAAAGAAAGGTGAACCGGGCTCCACAACTACTGAACAGGAATGCTGACTGTTCCAGATTTCAGTTTTGTATGTAGTATGCACTAAAAAACAAGCTCACCTGCCAGGATCTGCTGGAACCCTTTGATGGTCTCCTTCAAGGGGACCAGCTTCCCCATGTGGCCTGTGAAGACCTCAGCCACCTGGAATGGCTGAGACAGGAAACGCTGAATTTTGCGGGCACGGGACACAGTCAGCTTGTCTTCCTCAGACAGTTCATCCATACCCAAGATGGCAATGATGTCCTGGAGGGACTTGTAGTCCTATGAGAACACAAGATCAAAACAAGGCCTGAATAGTCACATGCCGTCAACCTGGACAAAACCCTAAGTGGCAGAGAGGAAGTACAGGCTTGCAGGTCACGAGGTCCCTATTTCTAACCTAGCACTATCAGAAATCAATTGGATTCCAAAGCCTAAGTACCTGGAAACCCAAGACTTCCTCAGCGTTCATGACTCAAATACCGGTCTCAACTTCCCCTGCTCCACAGTCAATCACACATGGTCTGAGAACAGATGCAGTCCTCACCCACTCCCCCAAATCCCTAAGGGACTTAATGGCCACTGACTGCCATGGCAACACACTCACCTGCAGGATCTTTTGCACTCCACGGGCAACATCATAATGCTCATTGCCAACAATGTTAGGATCCATGATGCGGGAGGTCGAGTCCAGAGGATCCACAGCAGGATAGATACCCAGTTCGGCAATAGCACGGGACAGGACAGTGGTGGCGTCAAGATGGGCAAAGGTGGTGGCAGGGGCAGGGTCCGTTAAGTCGTCAGCCGGCACATAGATGGCCTACACGGAGTCAAAAGCCCATCAAGAACAGCAAGGACCAAAGACATTTTCCTTACGCCACTCCTCTTTCTGACCTTTCTACTCATTCTCTTATCATTCCAAAGTTCACCTCAAAAAGAGCTTTCTTATAGTCCCCATACCTGTAGCTGGGAAAATACCTGGTGCCTCTAGGCCATGATGGAAGAACTGTGCTATGCTGTCCTTCACTCAAATGATGTTCACCTTGAGTTAAAAATAGCCAAAAATCTCCTTGCACTAATGAATCATGAAAGTTACTACAATTTAGTCACCATGTTTAGTTAACCATTAATGCAGTAAACATTCAACGTTTAGTTTCTACGCTTCCAGACTTCTGATCTACACTCACACATATTCCTTCCATTGCCTTAGACCATTTTTTCCTAGTCTTTTAGGGTCTTTAATATGTACACAAGATACACTGCACCCTATTCTGGGGAAGTCATGAATGCCCTGTTCCTCTGTGTGCCCTTCCTCACCTGTACTGAGGTGATGGAGCCCTTCTTGGTGGTGGTGATACGCTCCTGCATGGTGCCCATGTCAGTGGCCAGAGTAGGCTGATAACCCACAGCAGAAGGGATTCTACCCAATAAGGCAGACACCTGAAAGCAGGATAGGAAAAAAAAAAAGGTGTGAAAAGTAACACAATCACACAGCAGGGTTAGATGAGCGAAGTTCTTGCATGCCTTCCCTCTCACCTCCGAGCCAGCCTGGGTGAAGCGGAAGATATTATCGATAAACAGCAATACATCTTGACCTTCCTGGTCTCTGAAGTATTCGGCCACAGTCAGTCCAGTCAGAGCAACCCGGGCCCGAGCACCTGGTGGCTCATTCATCTGCCCATACACCAGCGCTACCTGCAGGTATCAGACAAAGTCAGAAAACCTGGCATGGGGCCACAGAAGCCACACCCCCAGCACCACCAAATCAACAGCCCTCACCTCAAGGACCCTCCTCCTCAGAAAAGTATAAAACCAGGGTCTCCTGAGACACAGGAGCTGCCTTTCAACCTTGCCATGCTCCCCAAGAAAACACCTCCCCAATTTAGAACTGTATCTACCAAAGTCTTAAAAGTTTAGAAATGTAATCTAATGTGAAATAGGAAATCAGCTGGCCAGATTCCTGCTGAGCAATGGGACAGCCTGGTGCTCACCTTGGAGGTGGCATCCTTCAAGTTGATGACACCAGACTCAATCATCTCATGGTATAGGTCATTGCCCTCGCGGGTCCTCTCTCCAACACCAGCAAACACCGAGTAACCACCATGGGCCTTGGCTACGTTGTTGATCAGCTCCATGATCAGTACCGTCTTGCCAACTCCGGCACCGCCAAACAGCCCTACAAGATTAAAAAGATTATTCAAGAGCTCTGCATTCTGTGATTAGGCAAACTTTTACAAAAGCTGTGCTTTTTCCATCTCAGGAATGGCATCTGGCTTCATTCGCAATCTCAGAAGAACGAAAGTCAGAAGCTATTCATCAATGAAGGAGAGCGCTCAACACACACACAAGGGCTTTTTTTTTTTTTTAAATCCCTTTCCATACTAGGTGTGGAAAACCTAAACCCACCACGGTGACGTACCAATTTTGCCACCCTTGGCGTACGGAGCGAGCAGGTCCACAACCTTGATCCCAGTCACCAGGATCTCCTGCTCCACACTCATCTCCATGAACTCAGGAGCCTCCGCATGAATAGCAGCAAACCTGTCAAAGAGTGAAGAGGGTTGGCATTCGGGAAGCAATTCCATTCCCCAGCAGCTGGCACCGAGCACCCACCTCCCATGCCAAAGGAGACTGCAGAACAAACTCCTGCAACCTCAGTCATACACCTAAGCCTAAAATACACTATTTGGGGTAGCAGATTTTTTGGGGGGGCAGTCCATTAGAATTTTGATACCCCAAATTGATTTGGGAACAGTGTGAATCTACTAACTGAATCTATCACCAGGGTAGAAATCCCCACACAAAGGTCCAGGGAGTTAACTGGACAGTGTCACCCTGGTGCACAGCTCCAGCCAGACACTCACTGCTTGGTCTTGATGGGGCCCCTCTCATCAATAGGTTCTCCAATGACGTTCATGATGCGGCCCAAAGTCTCAGGACCAACAGGGATTTTGATGGGGGCCCCGGAATCCAGGACTTTCTGGCCTCGAACCAAGCCTTCTGTGCCATCCATGGCAATGGTCCGTACTGTGCTCTCACCTGTAGGGAACACACATTGCAGAGTGACACAGGAAGGACAAGCTGAGAAGGTGACATCTGGATCAAGTGCACTGATTCAACCAAGACTCCTTCTCAGTATCTAAACATGGCTTCAGCAAACTCAGAAGAACGAAAGTCATTTTGATAAAATCATCATAGAAAGGAGACGGCTTGGTTATTATATCGGTTTGAATAAAGCACTTACAGTCCTCAAAAAAAAAAAAAAATCCTTTACTCACCCAAATGTTGGGCCACCTCCAAAACCAGACGAGTGTCCCTGCCTTGTACCTCCAGGGCGTTCAGGATAGGTGGCAGCCCCTCATCAAACTGGACGTCCACCACGGCACCAATGACGGCCACGATGCGCCCGGTGGCCAGGCCTCCCTTGGGCGCCGGCGAGGTCTGCGCAGCATAGTCGCGAGCTAGCAGAAAAAAACACCGAAAGGTCCAGGCAAGCTCCGATTTAACCGCCAAGAAACAAGGCTAAGCCAGCCGAGGTTCGGCCTCCTCCCGCTGGTATGCAAGGAGTGTCCAGAAGAGAAAGCCACGCAGTAAGCAAAGAAAACGTGCCTACACAGCCTTTCCCGTTCACGCGCAACACGAAATTATGGAGGAGCTCGGTACCCCCAACCCTTGCACGGGAAGGTCAATGCACCTGTCCGTCACACAAGACCCCATTCTGCAAAACGAGACAGGACTGTGTGGGAGAAGGCTTGCAGGGACGAACCGCCCTGGCTCGCATGCACACAGCCCGCCCCTGGTAAGCTTCCCGCGCCACGGATTAGGCCCCAACTACCCTGGGCCTCGGCTCAAGGTCACTGGGGCAGGACAGAAAGAACCCATCCACTGGGGGAAAGCACTCACCTGGCTGGACCGCTGCTGGGGCGGCGCGCAGTAAGAGCTGAGCTTGCGGGAGGGACGCTGAGGGGCCGAGTCCCCGCAAGGCCCCGGAGGCCGACGCCGCGGCCACACGACCCACAAGACTCAACATGGCGGAGTCCGGGTGGAGACTGAGAGCCGCAGCTGTCCCCGCCGCCGGCAACCCTGCAGCTGGGGCGCAGACGCTTCTGCTAGAGGCATGTTCAATGGCTACATTTCCTGCCTATCATTCTTAACCCTGCTCCTATAGGTTAACAGACTCCCATGTTTCCCAGTGATTGGTTAAATCTGCTGCTAATCTGAAACTCCCATTTTGATTGGCAAGGCCATCCGTCCAGCCTCGAAACCTCATTGGATCGCAGGACTGTCACTTGGGGAAAAGGTCTGGACGGAACTACGTTGAAGATAGGGGCCGAGTTCCTGTTGCCGGCACGTGGGCTGTCTTTGCCCGTCCTTGGGCTGTCTCCTTGGCTGGGACCTTGAGCTAGATGACAGGGGCTAGGGGTGGGGGCTTGGGAAGCGGTATCATCGGGAAGCTCTCCTCTGGGGTGACCGTGACGCAGTGAGGCATTTTCTCGGAAGGTGAAGCACGGGTTTTCTGTTGCGACCTTGCTTAAAGGATACGAAAATAACCAATCCCGTAACATGGATATCAGACACTTAGGAGACGAAAATAAAACACAGGACTTTTTTTTTTCCTGTTGAGCACATTTGCAATTTTTATCTTCTCAGGTTTTTAATTTTTAAAATTTGCTTTTTTTTTTTTTCTGCTGTTCTTTGGAATGCCCTGCGTCTCATAAAGGTGCAAGGTTCGAGTCCTGGCAGCTGGTTGCTCGTGCATCTGGGAGAGGCAGTGGATGGTGACCCAAGGATTCGGGTCCCTGCCACGTGGGAGACCTGGATGGACTGGTTTCTGGCTGCGGGATTCCGCCCGGCCATATCTGTGGCGGCCATTTCAGGAGTGTAGCAGCAGCAGGAGAAAAAAATATCTCTCTGTGACTAACCCTCACACTCTGTGTACTAAATAAACGTCGGCTTTAGAGCATGCCTAGGAAGGTTCCAGCAGAAGCTGCACTAATGCTGGCTCCTGGGGAAGGGAGAGGGAGGAGATGAGACCCCGGAGCTGCAGGAGGAATTGTTCACAGCACATGGAGGAGCTGACAGAGCTATGGCAAGCAAGCAATTTGCAAGGTCCAGCAGAAGGGTAGCAGATCCTAACTAGGCATGCTTGCAGGAAGCAGTGTGAAGCCACTAATGGGACCACAGGATCAGGGGAGAGACAGTTAAGGCATGAGTGTGGCATAACATGCAGGAGGCAGGTCTCAGGGGACTGAAACAGGGACGGTGTAAGAGCCAAAGAATTAGCCTCTTCAGGCCACTGGAGATCCAGCGGGGGGTGGGGGGGAACACCTTAAACTCTCCTACAGTAAATGCCTGGTGATGGCAGGGCTCACCTTTATGCCAAGAAGCCTGTGGGAAAGCGCCAGGACAAATTTGTAGGGGGACTGCAAGTTCTCAGGAGGTTGTCTGAAGTGAAAAAGCACGTGGGCAGGTGAGGGGGGGGTTGTCTTCCCACATGCTAAATGCAGCCCTGACTGGACCAAGTGTAGTTTGTGTATCAGAAGACAACTGTCAGCTGTTGGAGATACAAGCACAGAGCTACATTTCAAAAGGAAGCTGTGAAGGACAGTGTAGTGGTAGAGCAGTTCAGCTGCGTCCTAAGACACTGGCTGTCACGTAGGCTCAGATTCCAGTCCTGGCTGCTGCACTTCCAATCCAGCTCCCTATCAGTGCATTTGAGAAATCAGCAGAAAATGACACAAGTACTTGGGCTCCTGCCAACCCACCAGGGAGATCCATCTGGATGCAATTCCATGTTCCTGAGCCAGCCTGGCCTTTGTCATTTAAGGAGAGAACCAGTAAATGGAAGACCGCCTTTCTCTGTCTTGCCCTTAATCTCTGTAACTGTACCTAGCAAATAATATTTTAATGAGGCCTTTATAAAGTGCAAAGACACTGAGAGTACAACTGAGGCAGGTATGGTAAGGAAGGTTAAGCTTTTCCTTATGGTGCCTCCATTCCCTGTCAGAAGGTGGATTCAGGACCCAGCTACTCTGCTTCTGATCCAGCTCCTTGCTGATGTGCCTAGCGAGAAGTTGATGATTCAGGTACCTGGGACTTGAGTTTCTGGCTCCCACCCTTAGCCTGGTCCAGACCTGGCTGTTGTGATAGCTGTGTCAGAGATGAGCCAGCATGTAGACCACCTCTGTCTCTGCTTTTGGCTCTGACTTTCCAATAAATAAATATATCTTGACAAACAAAATAGAGATGGCATCCTTTACTAAAATGATTTTTCAGCCCGATGCAATAGCCTAGTGGGAAACTCTTCACCTTGCAAGCACCAGGATCCCATATGGGTGCCAGTTCTAATCATGATTGCTCCTCTTCCTTTCCAGCTCCCTGCTTGTGGCCTGGAAAAGAAATCAAGGACTGCCCAAAGCCTTGGGACCCTGTATCCTCATGGGAGACCCGGAAGAAGCTCCTGGCTCCTGGCTTCAGATCAGCTCAGCTCCAATTGGACAGACAATCTTCCTCTCTTTATATCTGACTTTCCAATAAAAGTAAATAAATCTTTTTTTTTTTTTTTTTTTTTTTTTTTTAACGAAGTCAGAGATACAGAGAGCAGGAGAGACAAAGAGGAAGATCTTCCATCTGATGATTCACTCTCCAGGTGACCGCAATGGCCGGTGCTGTGCTGATCTGGAGCCAGGAGCCAGGAACCTCCTCCAGGTCTCCCACAAGGGTGCAGGGTCCCAAGGTTCTGGGCCATCCTCGACTGCCTCCCCAGGCCACAAGCAGGGAGCTGGATGGGAACCGACACCCATATTGGATCGTGGCACATTCAATTGAGGATGTTAGCCACTAGGCCACCGTGCTGGGCCCCAATAAAAGTAAATAAATCTTTTTAAAAAAGAAAAAGATCTTCTGTCTGCTGGTTCACTCCCCAAGTGGCTGCAAAGGCCAGAGCCGAGTTGATCCGCAGCTTCTTCCGAGTCTCCCACATAGGTGGAGGGTCCTAAGGCTTTGGGCTGTCCTCAACTGCTTTCCCAGGCCATAAACAGTGTGAACTGGATGGGAATTGGAGCAACCAGGACATAAACTGATGTCCGTACGGGATCCCGGTATGTGCAAGGTGAGGATTTTAGCCACTGAGCCATTGCACCAGGCCTGAATATATTCTCTTAAAACACTTCATCCTTATGTAGTCAGTCTTCTGTTGGCACATTGATAGCAGTGCTACATGAAGAGACAGCAAAGGAAAACTTGGCATTAGGAAGCAGCATTGAACCCCTAGTGACCTTTGAAAGCGGGTCACTTAGCCACAGTTGGTTGACCGGCCAGCTGAATATTTGGAAAGCAAAACTCACATAACTCATTTAATACATACCTGCCTCTAAGATCCTTAACCCCTTTAATTCTGATTCCTTGTTCAGTTGCATTTCACTTAAGCAATTCACAACTATTCCAACACTTCCCCAAATGTTCTACCTACCTCAGAAATCTAATACTCCTCCTTTTGAAAAAAAAAAATTATTTTAATTTATTTTCATTGGAAAGTTAGATTTCCAGACAGAGAAAGATCCACCATTTGCTGGTTCACTTTCCAAGTGGCACAACTTCTGGAACTGAACTGATCCAAAGCCAGGAGCCAAGAGCTTCCTGGTCTCCCACGTGGTACAGGGTCCCAAGGTTTTGGACCGTTCTCTGCTGTTCTCCCTGGTCACAAGCAGGGAGCTGGAACAGAAGCAGCCAGCCAGGTCAGGACTTGAACTAGTGCCAATGCGGGATTCTGTTGCGTGAAGGCGCATTAGCCTGTGGAGTGTTGAGCCATGGCACTGGTCCTCCCCTCATTTTTTTTTTTTTTTAATGATTATCTATTACACTGAGAGAGAGGACAGACAAAACCTACATGCCCCCAAATAGCCAGGACTAGGACAGGCTCAAGGAAGGTGCTCACATTTACTCACCCATGTGGGTGGCAGGGATGCAAGGACCTGCGCCATCACCTGCCTCCTAGTGTGCATGCTCCCAGAATGCTGGATGGCAGGACTCAGAGCAGCATTCCAGCATGCCACGTATGCGTCCCACAGTGGCTTCACACACTACAATGCAATGCTTGCTCCTGATACTCTCTTCTGGGAACCAGTTTTGGGAAATTAATTATGATTACACACACAATATATGGAACATGCTAGGTAGCTAAGGTAAGCTTTCCAAGGTTTGTGTTTTGCAGAATGTTCTGTTTCAGTACATTTAAGTTTATTGATCATGACTGATTAGTAAACCATCATAAGGCCAGGTAATAACTTATTTTCTAACCAAGTTTTTCTTTTTTTAGATCTTATTTAGAGATGCAGGGACACAGAAAGCACTTCCATTGACTGGTTCACTTCCCAAATGGCTACAATGGCCAGAGTTGAGTCAATCCAAAGCAGGGAGATTCTCTATATCCCCCAGGAGTACAGGGTCCCAAGGCTTTGGCCACCCTATACTGCTTTCCCAGGCCACAAGCAGGGAGCTCGATGGGAAGTGTAGCATCCAGGATACCAACTGGCGCCCATATGGGATCCTGACCCATGCAAGGTAAGAACTTTAGCTGCTTATGCTACCATAACAGGCCAGTTAATGAGTGAATCCCAAAAGGTAAGATACCATGTTTGCCTTGATTTAACCTGTAATTTTTGTTTGTTTTTGAACCTGTCATTGATACCGTCTCAACTCATGTGTTTTAAAGAATTGACTTGCGTTATTTTTAACAAATTGTTTACTCAATACTATGTCAATTAATTCCATAACATTGTATTGTTGCTGATGTTTTGTTGGGGCTTTTAACTGACCGGAATTTTACTCTGTTAGCTCTACCTTCAGACCAGAGGTCTCCCCAAGAAGCCACTGAACTTATCTGGACAATAAGATGCTGGACTTTATGCTAGGTATGTGCATGCAATGAAGGAATCTCAACTGAACTTGAACTGTGGTTATGCAGCAAGGTGGAGGAATCCACCATGGGGGGAGGGTTGTTGGAAGGGTGGGGGGAATCCATCTGCTCACTTTCCACATGATCACAAGACATGACGAACCCAAAGAAGTCAGGAATGTCCATATAGTGGTTGGCAGG